AAGAAAAAATTTCTCACTGTGTATAAAGATTATCACAAGTTTATACACCCGATGGGTCTAAACAGGAGTCTTCTGGCAGGGCTGCATCTGCTCTTGTTGCCACCCCCCTGTAAGAACGATAATAAATTTGTTGAGTTAGGCATAAATTAACAACCCGGGCGTCTACACCTCAAACTGAATTGTTTGCAATCCAATGGCGCTAAAGCTACTTATACACTGAGCTGACTCTATAAATCATTACTGATTCTATGTCATCATGAAAGGGTCTTCACTCATATAATGACTCCAACAACTGCTCATTTGGGGAAGCCCGGGATAGATACTCAAAAATTAGGGGCAAAGGAATTATGACAATTGCTATGGTATCCCATCACACTTGGATTACTCCTTCATATAAAGTTGATAGTTACAAGAAGAGTATCGAAGGAGAATGTAGAATATAACTTGGTATAACGTGTCTACATTAGGAATTAATATTAGGAGAAAATAAATAATGAAAATGATTGTTATAGGAATGCAGTTAGAAACCTGAGTAGATCTATCCCACTATGATAAGTATGTTTATGGAGCAAATTGCAAAGTGAACAACTGACTGATTTTTTGTAGTGGCCAGGCTTGCTGGTTACAGTATTTCTGCAGTTTGGAGAACACAGATATGATCAAACTAAATGTAGAAATATGTGATTAGCATATGGGCACTGTCTTTAACACTATGTGCTTAATTGTCCACTTATTGAGGAATACAGAGACAACAGTATATAAACTTTGTAATGTCAAGAATCTTATTAATGAAAATAAGATACCAGAATTACTAAGTAAATTTCCTAAATTTCTTGTAACAGATAAATGAACTATATTATGTAGAATTAATCCATATGTATTCCTGTTAACCCTTTTGGGGGCCCAGTCCTAGGCCTTTTGTGTATCCATATGCTCCGCGCTACGTCCAAGGATGGATATGGGGTGACAATAACTAGCCACTTTGGTGGCAAAATCTAATCTAACTAATCTTACAACACACGTTCTTGGTAGGTTAATGTTTGTTTAGGAAACAAGACAAGTGTTTCATGACGGGTCTAATCAATGATGACCATACTGGAATTTTTGGTCATCACCCAGGTCTTGGGTGGCTTATCGGGCACACCCTTTACAAATTGTGGTTGTGGATTAACCATTCTTATTTTTTCACGACCTGGGGACCTGGTCTTAATATTATGCCTCATCTGGGCCAGGTTATTATTTGTCTTGTGGTTCCTACTTCCACTCAACTGGGTTCACATTCCAATTGAGAACAAACCATACCACGGGCGGATTTGAAACCCGGGGCAAATCCAAATAGGTCCCTTAGTGGA